CATCTACATACATACACATGCACATCTACATACATACACATGCACATCTATGTATTTAACACATGCACCCCTCCACACACATACAGAAAATTTACACCTTTCTAATCTTTCATTTCTTGGGGTTTCTTTGGAGCTGTAAAGGGGTTGGGAGTATTTGAAATTTGATTTACCCAGAAATCTTTCTTTCATTTTTAGAAATATTCTTTTCTAATTCTTAAATCTCCATTTTCGTTTTTCCCCTCAAACTTTTTCATTAAAATTCTAGGTCTCATCTGTGATTGCTTAATTTTTTTTCCAAAAAATTTACTTTTTAAAAATGTGAAGCATAGCAGACTGGAATTTCTGCAGTAAGCTCTCACATCCATCGCTGTGCATCTCAGGCTGGACGTCGTCTCGTCTGAATGCTTTGGGAGAGCGTTGCGCAAGTGGGTTTCTTTTGAGGAAACTCGACATAGGTTGTTTTTCTTTAAATGAAAAGTTCCTGTACATACATTTAGTACCACACCAGACAGGGTTTTGTTTTGTTGCTCCAACAATTCAACATGGTTTATTTGTTTGCACTGTGCGTGCATTGGTGTTTTGCCTGCATATATGTCTGTATGACGGTATTGGATCCCCTGGAACTGGAGTTACAGACAGTTGTGAATTGCCATGTGGGCACTGGGAATTGAATCCAGATCCTTCAGAAGAGCACTCAGTGCTCTTAACTGCTGAGCTGTCTCTCTAGCCCCTAGACATAAGTTTTGCTTTAAAGTTTTATTCCATGACGGTCAGATAATATTTATTTAATTTTTTGCATTTTTATGGTTATTAGATATTTATGAAAATTCCATGGTTAATTTGGTGGTTTGTTGTTTCTATGTTGTCTTTGATTTTATTTGTTTTTATTGTTTGGCATTTGCTTGATAGACTCTCATTTAGGCCAGGCTGTCCTCAAATGTGTTGTCCTTTGTTAGTAAGATTAAAAAAAAAAACAAAAGCAAGAAACATGACTGAGTGTTTCAGAGTCTCCCACTCTCTGTTGGTCTTGTGCCTGGTGCGGCCTGAGGGTGAGGCTGTATTATCTGGGTAAGGACGAAGCCAAGACTAGGATGAAATTCTATGCTGGAACATTCTCCATACTAGGCCACTCCTGAAATTACAGAGACGTGGGCAGGAAACTCAATATTCTCCATAGCCTTGAGGAGAAATTCTTGTTTGATCTCAGGTCATATATCACCATTTGGTAAATTTAGATGTTTTAAGAGTTTTAGCTTCAAATATTTCTGTTGTTTATCTAAGTAATTGGGGTCTGGCTATCCTGTCGAGACTTGGTTGTTATCTCTCTGATATCTTAAACACCTCACTTCTTCCCTAAAGTGAAAGAGATGGACTAACAGGTAGATGTGCTCTCTCCCTGTGTCTGCCTTTGGAGCTGTAGCAAGACACATTTTAGATTTATTTTATATGTGTGGGTGTTTTGTCTGCATGTTTATCTGTACGCAGTGTGTATATGATGCTTGCTGAGGCCAGAAGGTCGGAAGAGGGCGTTGGATCCCCCGAGACTGGAGTTACAGGTGGTTATGAACCACTACAAAAGTGGTAGGAATTGAACTTGGGTCCTATAGAAAAGCAGCCAGTACTCAACCTGTGAACTATCTCTCCAGCCCCCATTTTAGATCTCTTTATCCAACCACTAAAAATAAGTAGAGTGTGTGTCTATGTTATGCTGTGAAAATCATATTGAGAAATCACATTCAATCATATTGGATGTCATAATCCTCATCCTTGAGTGGTTCAGTCACAGTTCCAAGAGAGGCTTAAACATCTTGAGAGATTAACATGATTGTTATGGGAGTGTACATGTTTCATGGGTGATTAGAAGATGTGTACAGCTTTGCTTAGGAGTGGGGGAGACTTCAGAAAGAAGGAGGCATTTTGGCCGAATCCTGGAAATAAGAGTGAGTTCCAGACAAGTAGATAAGAGGGCAGGGGCATTCCCGGTGATGAGAACAGGTCGACCAGATGGCAAGGATGAGAACAGATAGTAGACAGGATCTGTCCCTTCTGCTGGGAAGGTACCATGCAGTTGGAATCTGGGACCGCAAAGCTGGAGGAGTTGATGAGAAGACAGAAGGCGAAGAGCGTTGGTGAGCAGAGGAATTTGCATTGTATATTGTGGGCAGGGAGTCACTATGGAAAGTCTTAAGGATGAGATTTGACTTGGCCTGTTTTTTTTTCGTGTTCAAATTTTGGTTTTCTGTAACACACGTCCCTTGACTAAACATTTCTCCCCTCTAACCTCCTGTCTCTGAAGCGTGTGATTTCTGATTTAGACTTAGATGTCTGTGCCACATGCCATGAACATGCCACATGCCAGCTAAAGGACGGGAAGAGAATCTGCATTTGCAACTATGGCTTTTGGGGCAACGGGAGGACGCGGTGTGTTGGTAAGTGTCAGTGGTGGGTTAAGCTGAGAATTTGAATCAAAACCAAAGGTTCTCCATTTTTAGAGCCAGGGTCCCTGGAGGGCAAACATTGTTATTTTGTTCCCATTTTTTAAAATGGGTTTTTGGCAGTTACAACAAAATCTTGGCTTTATAGTTTAGATAGATCCCTTTTCTGGTGTTTCCAAGGAAGAACCCCTCGTGTTAGATGCTGCTGACCTGAGCTCTCTGGAAATTCTTTGGCCTGCACAGATTTGAAGTCTGTTTTATGTCCCGAGTTTAACTTAACAACAAAAGCAAATATTAAATTTCTTAATTTCTCAGGTTGTTTTGATATAAAACCATTTATCTTAATGCTGTGGAGAAAAACAAAGCCTTCTTTCCTTTAGGGGATTTTTGATTAACTGTGTGTCGTATGCCCATCAGAAGCTGTCCTCTGAATTTTTGTAGTTCTGACCCCTTGGGATGACTTCAAGGAATACTTTAAGATAACCTGAAGGTTGTTTAGACTAGATGCAGCTAAGAGTCCTTTTTTCTTTTTTCTTTTTCTTTTTTTCTGGCTCATGGTGTCCATGCTAGTACAATCAGATAGCATTGAGATTCAAGCACAATTCAGAGGAAATGTCGCAAAAATTTAATTATAATAAATATGGCAATGACTGCCCATTCTGCAGACCGGACTCCCACAGGCTTTGAGCGATCTCACTAGACTAGCGGCCTCTTCCTCTTAGCCCTGTGGCTGCTCTGCAGTCAGAGTCCTTAGGGAATTTCTCCGATTCCCCCCTCCCTGCCCCGACCAGTACCTGCTCTTTTGCTAACAGCTGAAGTTGAGGAGCCTGTGGGTTGCAATCCCTTTGTGTGTGTGTGTGTGTGTGTGTGTGGAGGGGAGGTTGAATAACCCTTTCATCGGGGTCGCTTAAGACCATTGGAAAACAGACATTTACATGACTATTCATAACAGTAGCAAAATTACATTTATGAGGTAGCAATAAAAATAATGTTATAATGGGGGGGTCACCACTGTAAAAGGAATGGTGGGCCGCTTCCCACTGCCCGCCCAGCTAGCCTTACCCAAAATAATTACACGGAAACTGTATTCTTTTAAACACTGCTTGGCCCATTATATCTAGCCTCTTATTGGCTAACTTTTACATATTGATTTAACCCATTTCTAATGATCTGTATATCACCACGAGGTGGTGGCTTACCGGGAGAGATTCAGCATGTCTGACCTGGCAGCTTCATGGCGGTGGCTCTCCTGACCCTGCTTTCTTCATCCCAGAATTCAGTTCTGTCTTCCCCGCCTACCTATGTTCTGACCTACCAGGCCAAGCAGTTTCTTTATTAAACTGACCAATGATAGCAACACATAGAAGACCTTCCTACACCACAACACAACATGAAGAACTATATTAAGGGGTCGCAGCATTAGGAAGGTTGAGAACCACTGCTCTAAGGAATTCCTCCCCCCCTGCATGCTAGCTGTGCTCTCGATTGCTCCTTGACTTCAAAGCAATGGGTGCATCTCCTAGGAGGGGAGAGACCATCGCACATTTCTGTGTTTGTTCCCATTGGTCACTGCCGGCCCTAGTACATGGATTGCTACGTGCACACTGGAGGTTACTAGTGGGGTTACACCTGTGCCAAATGTACCATAGTATGGCATTATGTCGAAGGACTTAAGAATTCTAGAACTTTCTACAAACCTAAATAGCCCACTTGACACCTTCAGGGGAACCTTGTATTAATTTAAACGAGACATGTCTCCTCTAGGCTTGAGTATTTGGACACTTGGTCCCTAGTTCATGGTGCTGTTTGGCAAGGTGGTGCAGCCTTGCTGGAGGAAGTATGCCATTGGGGGTAGGCTTTGAGAGATCATAGCTGCACCCCACTTCTCGTTTGCTCTCTCTGCTTCATGCTTGTGGCTGAAGATGTGAGCTCGCAGCTTCCTGCAGCCATGCCTGCTGCTTGCTGCCGCGCCTCTACACCTCTGGAACCGGAGTCCTAAATTGACGTTTTCATCTTTAAGCTGCCTTGTCATGGTGTCTTATCGCAAGAGTAGGAAAGCCACTAACGCAGACGTGTGTTGAGGAAGAGCGACAAAGGCCCGGGCACAGATCGGCTTGTGCCTGGAAGCTCTCTGTAGCGTTTGTCAGCCGAGCTGTGCACTTGACCTAGCTGTGACTTGAGAGTTCAGTTGCCCCAATCTCTCAGGCAAATCTTAACACGGATAGTTTTACCTGTGGGTTGTATACTAGATTCAGCTGAAAAATTCAAAGGGTGCTGGGGATACAGCATCCCTCTGTGCTGTGAAGGCTGAGGCCGGAGGATTTGGAGTCTGAGCATCAGCTTGGATTACATAGCAAGATTTTACCTCAAAGAACAACGCAACAGCATGTGTGGTTTAGTTTTTATTTGTGTGCACCTATCGAGTGTGAGTTGTATCCGTGAGTGCACACTTGTAGAGGCCGGAAGGAGGCGTTGGAGTTCCTAAAGCTGAAGTTACAGGTGGTTGTAAACTACCCAGTGGGTGCCGGGAACTGAACTTGGCTCTTCTGCAAGAGTAGCAAGCACTCTTAACCCGCAGGGCCATCTCTCCATCTCTCTCTCTATGTATTTTAAAAAGTCACATAAGCAAATGGAAAAATAGGGGCTGTCGAGATAGTTAGATAGGTAAGTAAAGGTGCTTGCTACCAAGGTTGACTACCTGGAGTTCAATTCCTGGAGCCTGCATGGTGGAGGAGAGAACCCACTCCTACAATTTGTCCTTTGCCTTCCACATACATGCCGTGGCAGGAACGTGCCCACAAAGGCAGGCAGGCAGGCAGGCAGGCATGCACGCACACACACACACAGATACATACATACATATGTACATAAATAATTGTAATTTAAAAATAAAAGTGAAAATGGAAGAAATATCCAGAGCCTCCCCCAACCCCCCGGAGGTTGTATTTTGGAAAATTGAGTATCATGGTGACAGACAACCTGAAGAAGTCAGCAGTAGACCTGCTGTTGGCTCTGCCCTGTCCAGCATGGCCGGAGGTTATGTTCACCGCCTCTGTGAGCCATGCTCACAGCCCCAGCTCCAGGGACACAGTGGGTTTATATAACCATTAAGCAACAAGTAGCAAACTGCTCACAAACCCCATTTAAGTGCCCGACCTCCTAAAAGAGCCAGAGCTGTTTGTGCACAAATCAGAAAGATGTCTCTGTAAAGAAGCCCTGCAGTTTTTGCTGCTAATGCTGAGTTAGGAAGATTTCTCTTAAAGGAGCTATGCCTATGCTTGCCGCTAGCAAACAGCCTTTCTGAAAAAAAAAATGCAGCTACCAAGAAGCTTCACTTGGCTCCCACTTTTGTGGGTCTAGAAGTCCTGTTTCCTTTTCTCTTCCTTCCTTCCTTCTTTCCTTCCTTCCTTCCTTCCTTCCTTCCTTCCTTCCTTCCTTCCTTCCTTTCTTTCTTTCTTAAGCTTTTTTAGGTCTTATGTGGATCCATGCCTCAGTTGGTAGGTGCAATTTGTAAGCAAAGATTGTTCTTATGTTTTCTGGCCACCCTGACCTGAATAATCACATAGAAACTATATTAATTACAACACTGTTTGCCCAATAGCTTAGGCATATTCCTAGCTAACTCTTACATCTTAAATTAATCCATTTCTATTAATCTGTATATCACCATGAGGCTGTGGCCTACCAGTAAGGTTCCTGTATCTTTCTCCTTTGACAGCTACATGGCATCTGTCTGACTTTGCCTTCTTTCTCCCTGCATTCAGTTTAATTTTTCTGTCTAGCTCTATTCTGCCCTGCTAAAGCTGTAACAGTTTCTTTATTAACCAATGGTTAAGAAAAGAATTTTTATGCGGGAACCCCACATCACACTTTATTGGCACATAGAATTAATTGCTCATCATAAATACCTATGTGTCTGTTGGTGGGGGTGGGGTATGGTTGTTGCTTTAATTTTTTTGTTTTGTTTTGTTTTTTTGAGACAAGATTTTTCTTTGCATCCTTGTCTGGCCTGAAACTCACTATATAGACCAGGATGTCCTCAAATTCACAAAGATCTGCTTGCTTCTGCCTCCCAAGTGCTGGGGTTAAAGGCGTGCCTGACTATGACCTGTAATAGGCATATTCTATGGCAACTTTCAAGGTCTATCAGTATGGGTGAAATGTAAAGAAAAAGTTTCTTGACCCAAATACACTGGAAATCAGAGATGGGAGAGTTTAGATTCATTTTTCCCTCTCATTTTCTTTAATTAATGACCCCTAAGGCAGCCTTCAGTCATCCGTGTTCTAGCTGCTCTTCACCCTGTCATCACCCTTGCTCACATAGATCACGGATGGTCAATGTGTTTCCTGCCCCTGTATGAACCACGTTCATGGTCAAGACTTCAGTGATAATTCTGTTGTGTTTCCTGGGAGCTGACAATCTTAATTTTCCAGTTGGATCATTGGATATAAAGTTCATCTCAGGGGTAGGAAAGACGATTCAATGGCTAAAAGCGTGTACTGCCCCTGCAGAGGACCTGGGTGTAGCAGCTCCCAACTCATGACACAGAGACTTCCTTTTTTTCCAGCCTGAAATAATTTACTTTATTTTTTAATTGTTTTTATTGAGCTATATTTTTTTCTCCACATCCCTCCCTTCCTTTCCCCTCCTCTTCTAACGTCTCCCATGGTCCCCATGCTCCTTATTTACTCAAGAGATCTTGTTGTTTTCTATGTCCCATGTAGTTTAAATGCATGTATGTCTCTCTTAGGGTCCTCCTCATTGTTACCTAGTTTCTCTGGGATTGTGAATTGTAGGCTGGGTTTTCTTTGATTTATGTCTAAAAGTAGCTTATGAGTAAGTCCATATGATATTTGTCTTTCTGAGTCTGGGTTACCTCACTCAATATGTTTTCTAGATCCATCCATTTGCCCACAAATTTCAAGATGTCATTGTTTTTTTTTTTCTGCTGTGCAGTACTCCATTGTGTAAATGTACCACATTTTCCTGACCCATTCTTAGGTCGAGGGGCATTTAGGTTCTGGCTATAACAAACACTGCTGCTATGAACATAGTTGAGCACATGTCTTTGTGGTACAATTGAGCATCCTTTGGGTATGGACCCAAAAGTGGTACTGCTGGGTCTTGAGGTAGACACAGAGACTTCTTATTAGTTACGAATGCTTGGCCTTACTCTGTGCTTGTCCCACTAGCTCTTATAGCTTCATTTGACCTGTTTCTCTTCATCTACGTTTTGCCCACAGGCTTCCATCTTTCATTCTGTATGTCCTGCTTTCACTGTCTCCTCTGTGTCTGGCTGGCAGCTGCCTACCTGGCTGGCCAGCCCTGCGTGCCCTCCTTTTTCCCTTGTTCTCTCTTTCTCTCTTATCCTGAACCTAGATCCTTCCTCCTACTTATTTTCCCTGCCCACCAGCCCCACCTATGTCGGGGATCAGCCTTGACAAAAATACCACTTGTCAGGGCAGAGGCGTGGGGGTTAGAAATATAGTAAGGAATATGAAGACACGAGTGAAAATAATAAGATGGAGAAACATATAGGAGAGTATCAGGAAGGAATTTCCGTGAATACTGAGAATTTGCCCGCATTTTATTTCCAACTGCTTAAAATACCCCTGACCCCAAAAGGTAGGGGTAAGACAAAAGACTGCATTAACATGATACAAGGAAATGACCATGCCAATTGAAGGTCGTGGGCTACATCCATAGTTAAACAGTCTCTTGCTAGAACAAAACAAGCCCAAGTGTGCTCACACACTAGACCAAAACGTTCTGTAGGCAAACCACTCCTGGGTGGAATCCCAAGTTATCTCCTTAAAGGGAACTGGAACTTAGTTGGATTCTTAGACTCTTCTTTGAGGTAGGAACAGATCTACTTCTCTATTCCTGGGGTACGAGGTCTAGCTATTAGCCATACCTGTTGAGAGAGTAGAACTCTCTATTCTATATCTAGGAGGGACCTTTGTTTGAGGTAGAAGCACAATAACACGTAACACATGGCTAGCCAACACTTAACATTAGCACTAATTCCCTAATACTGAAAAGACCAAGAAAATGACTGAGTTGGAAATGGGATTATTCTAGGCTTGCTTCCTCTGGCTCATCAAATTTCTATTGAATTAAATTCATTAAGATGTGTGTGTGTGTGTGTGTGTGTGTGTGTGTGTGTGTGTGTGTGTATGTGTCATGCCAGGTAATTTCATACATGTCTTTGTGTGTATTCTTATAGTCGTGTCCATGTGGTAGTCAGAGGTCAGCCTCTAGTGTTGGCTCCTCACCTTCCACCTGCTTTGCAGCAGCGTCTTCTGCTGCTCACTGGGACTCTCCTGTCTCTATCTCCTGTTTCTCTACAGGAGCACTGGGATGAGAGCTGTGTGCTGCCTTGTCTGGCTTTATGTAGATTATGGGATCTGCAAACACCTTATCCACAGAGCCATCTCCTCAGTCATTACGCTTTTATCTGTGTATGTGCACACATATATATGTCAGTGTGTCACACTTGGAGGTCAGAGGAAAACTTTTGGGAATTCTTTTCCTGCCCTATGTAGGTCCTGAGGACAGAATCAAAGTTGTCAAACCTCTGGCAAGCACCTTTATTCTCTGAACTGCTTAGCTGACCCACCAATGTCTTATTTTAAAAGTATTATTACTCTCATGGGATTGAACCCAGAGCCTCATGGATCCTAGGCACAGGGACTTCTTCACAGAGTTACATCCTCAACCCTTTATGATTTTTTCTTTTTTTAAAAAAATTTATTTATCATGTATACAATGTTCTGCCTGCATGTGTCCCTACAGACAGAAGTTGGCACCAGATCTTATTACAGGTGGTTTTGAGCCACTATATGGTTGCTGGGAATTGAACTCAGGACCTCTGGAAGAGCAGTCAATGCTCTTAACCACTGAGCCATCTCTCCAGCCTGATTTTTTTTCTTAAATGTGGAAAAAAATTCAAAAATAACCTGCTGCCAATCTTCAAGTAAGATGGATTCGATTCCCAGATTATAAAGTTGTGTTTCTCGTGTGGTTTTGTATGCACCAGGTATGTAATTTTGTGAGTCCAGTTTCTTCTAGTCTGGAAAGCACGAGACTGGAGGAACAAATAGACCAGTAAGCTGTTGTCAGAGAGCAGAGATCCCGTAGTCTACAGTGGGAGAGGATTCTGGGAGGGATGCATGGTGTTGGTAGACAGCTTTTGTGTGAGTTGTTGCTATGGATCCATCTGCAGATAAAGACGAGTGCCAATTCGGAGCCAGTGTGATCTGTGGGAACCACACCTCCTGCCACAACACACCTGGAGGGTTCTACTGCATTTGCCACAAAGGCTATCGGGCTACAAATAACAACAGGACGTTCATTCCCAACGATGGCACTTTCTGTACAGGTACCAAACGGGGCACTTGGTGATGGTACAGTAGTTGATGGGTAGAGGGTCAAATCACGGCGGAAAAGCCTTGAATTTGGACAGAAACCTAGTAGTACTAGTCAGTATTAGAGAATTAATGCTAATCCTATGTGTTGTCTAGCATTATGTCAACTTGACACAAGCTAAAGTCACTTGGGAAGAGGAAACCTCAACTGAAGAGATGCCTCCATCAGACTGGCCTATAGGCAAACCTATCAGACATTTTCTTTTTCTTTCTTTCTTTTTTTTTAAGATTTATTTATTTATTATGTATACAACATTCTGCCTCCATGTATGCCTGCATGGAGAAGGGCGTACAGATCTCATTACAGATGATTGTGAGCCACCACGTGGTTGCTAGGAATTGAACTCAGGACCTTTGGGAGAGCAGCCAGTGCTCTTTAACCACTGAGCCATCTCTCCAGCCCTCAGGCATTTTCTTGATGAATAGTTAATGTGGGAGGGCCCAGCACACTGCGGATAATGCCGCCTCTTGGCAGGTTATCTTGGTTGTTGTAAGAAGCCAGGCTGAGTAAGCAATGAAGAACAAGCCCGTAAGCAGCACTCCTCCATGGCTTCCACTTCTGTTCTGCTTCTGGGTTCCTGTCCTGACTTCCCTCAGTGACAGAGTGTAAGCTGAGGGTTGTAAGATTAAAATAAATCCTTTCCTTCCCAAGTTGTTTGCAGCCATGCTTTTTTATCCCAGCCATGTAAACCCCAACGAAGACATATTGTTAGCTGGGATCATGGTATTGTGATCTATAAAATGTTAGTATTTTGAGAGACAAATTGTCTGGGGCATTATTATGAAGTATTATGTGTTTTGGTTTCTGTGAGCTGTTTTAAATGATGAAATATGAAAAGCAATTGAATAACTTATGATATTGGAGGGTGGGCACCTGGTAGCTGATTGTACTGTTTTTCAAGTTTTATGTCTTGAAAAATTTAAAATTTATTATGTGTGTTTATGAGTATGTGTGTTTGTGTGTGCATGTATGATGTGGTGTGTGTATGTGTGTGTGTGTGTGAGACAGAGGGAGAGAGAGAGGGGGGGGGAAATAGGTTGTGCGCACAGTGTATGTGTTTGCGTGTGCACAGTGTGTTTGTGTGGCAGGGGTTCAGAGAACTACCTTCAGGAGTTCCGTTCTTTCACTGCCAGATCTGGGGATTGAACTCAGACTATGAGGCTTGAGCAATCGGCTCTCATACCCACTGAGCCGTCGTGATGGCCTGTGATTCAACCTTTTGACAATGACCAATCAGGCTGGCCTCTCTGGAGACAGTGTGCCAGCTCTATGTTCCTGTAACTAAGCACCAAGGGTTTCTGTGCCTCATAGGAGGTCTAAGCATTGTCACGAAGGTTGCTTGCCACCGAAGGACTCAGTGAGGAATGTGACTTTTGCGACAAGTAACCTTGTCATTGAGATTCCTGGGTGCATGTTGATTGACCGGAAGCCTGAGCAAAGCCCTCCTCATGTTCACAATTCTGGGTGAACTCTGGTGAACTCTGTGTCTAGTAGCCTAGACCAATAGGACAGCTCTTCAGCTTTCTCAGGTTCCCAACCAGTCACAAAGGGGAGAGGCCAGAAACTCCTCTTGGTTCTGAGATCTTGGTGTAGACTCTCTGACTGCTCAAAAAGGCTTGGTGGCGTCTCAGGGTTTTCAGAGAAGCAAGGAAAACAAAGCATCTTTAATCTTCCTGTGGCTAGGAACTGCAGATTCTGGCCTCTGCCGTTCTGCTTGACCTGTGCTAAGACAAAATTCCTGGAAGGATAAGTTCATACATCCAGCCTTTTCTTAGTAAGAATAAATGTATTCTCTTGAAGAACACATCGTATCCAGTGTCCTGTTGTTTCTGCAACAAGTTACTGGCTATGTGGTTTTAAAACTGTGATGTTGCCACATTATATTAGGACATTATAAGGCAAGGATGCTGTTTTGGCCTTGGGGTTTGTTTTTTCCTTTTTTCTGAGACAGGGTTTGTCTGTGTAGTCCTGACTGTCCTGGAGTGTATCCTGGAACCCACTCTATAGACCAGGCTGTCCTCAAACTCAGATAGGGACTGGAACTGGGTTGCCTCTGTCTCTTTAGTTCTGGGATCAAAGGCATGCACCACTATGCCTGGTGAGATGCTAATTTTAAAAACCATGTATGATGATGATTATCTGGCTCGTTCACATACATTTCTTTTCTGCCAAGGCAGTGCCTCTGGGCGGTGACAGGTGGACAGTTAATTTCCCTGTCATGGTGCTAGAGAAAGGTGAGCAAAGGTGTTATCTGGAACCCAAGGGTAACCCTTATCTTAGCAGCGAGGAACAGACCTGGGGGGGGGGTGTTCCAGGACACGTGATACCTGAAACCGCTCTTTCAAAACTGTATCAGTATTATTCTGAAGAATGCATTCAACGTTTAAGAGTTAGGAAGACTGACCAGGTGTGACGGCTCACACCTTTAACCTTAGCGCTTGAGAGGCAGAGGCTCTCTGTGAGTTCCAAGTCAACCTGTTATAGACAGCAGGTTCGAGGCCAGGCAGAGTTACACTACACAGTAAGTACCCATTTCTAAAAGAAAAAAAAGAAAACAAACAAAGATACAAAAACACCAAAAAGATAGGAAGAAAGAATGGAGCTGGATTGTTGCTCGGTAGTAGAACTCTTACCTATCATAAACAGGGCCTTGGGTTTGATTTCTGGTTTGCACACCAAACAGAAGTTAGAAAGATGAAGTGGGGGAGGGGGGCAAAGAACAGGAAGAGAGAGAAGGAAATCTTTTGCGCAAGGGTCAAAGAGGTGTCAGCCAAACAAAAGCCAACCTGCCTGGAACAAAATCCTGCATAGGTCCTGACAGATTTATTTCATTTCTTGCAGTTTTTGGTGATCCTTCCCTTTCTGGAAAAAGAGACACAATTCACATTCACCATTTTCCCTTCTTTTGAAGTGTTTAATTCAGTGGGTTTAGAATATGTACAAAGTCAGGTTACTGTTGCCAGTGCTGCAACCCCACAAGGAAGCTTGCGTTTATTGCCTGTCATTCCTTTGACTTTTCATTTCGGGGTCTCTGTTGACCCCTTGTAAAAGCTGATGGATAATTTTTCTATTGATGCTGAGAAGTCAATGCCTCAAAATCAGTTGCCAAAAAGACATGAGTGGATGCCGGTTGGGGTATAGTTTAAGTTTGGGGGGTATCAGCCTTTATCCAGTGTTTGTTTGGAGCCTCAGTCCCTGAAGCCAGATCCCTGCATTCACCCTGAGGGATCTTCTTCCAGGAATATGTTGTAATTTGCAGAGTCTAAGTCAGGCTCAAGAGCTGGTGACAGATGTCTTCAGAGGTCACTGGTGATCGAGGAGGAATAAGCTATAGTGGTTTTAGTGTGGGCTGACGCCAGTCAATTCTGAAGACTCAGAAGATGCTCTGGTGTCCAGAGATGCCCTGCAGTGACTCTTGCAAGTCACAGAAACCTGGCCACGAGGCAAGGTCTTCAGCGACAGCAATGTGAGAGTGGTCTGAGAGTGGGCAGAGAGAACCCACACTGAGTGTAGGACTGGGGACTGTCATTTCCCTACGCAGGGGCCACCAAGTAGGCATAGGTCTCCTAGGGTCTGCTGACAGCTTCCGGGTGTCTTCCCTGTGCCTTTTGAGTCCCCAAGTCACATGTTCTATCCTGAATGGCAACAGCAACTTTCTCACAGGAATTTTCTGCATCGTTAGAGCCTTGTGCTCTTGCTGCTGGAGAAATGGAAGCCCCTCAGCCCTGGCTGAGAAAGGAGAAGGGGACCAAAAAGAACCGGGGGTGCTGTCATCCCCCAGCGCCTGGGAACTTCTCTCTCGCTGTGTCCTGCCAGTCTGCCTCAAGCCTTCACGCCTCCAGCTCTGTTTTTACCTGTTTCCCAGGTCAGGTTAGGTCTACTGGCCTTTGCCTAGGGCAGGAGCCTCTTTCTAAGAGAACAGCTGTTCCCAAGCTCCTTTGCTCCTGCCGCTTGGTGCCTGAGCCCATCCTGGCCTCGGCCCAAATGTGGAATCACACTAAGACTGCCTGCTTTCTGACAGGACCCGCCCATTTGGTTTGTTTCTGCCTTAGGGTTTTCCCCAGCAACTTTTCCAAGTGGAAATGTAAAATAGTGTATTAAGTATAATGCCTCAAAATTAAAAATAAAATCACTTCATGGTTCTGAAATTCAGTTTCTGGACATTTGCCCCCAAACGATTGAAACTGGCACCTTAAAGAGACGTTTGTACAGCCACGCTCACAACAGCCCTTTTCACAACAGTCAAGGAGGCACAGAGGTTCTCCATGTTTGTCCGCAGATGAAAGATAAAGATAGTGCGTATCAGGGAGTGTTGTTCAGCTTGAAAAAGGAAGGAGCAGGCACAGTAGGGCACATGCTTAGCATGAGCAATGGTCTAGAGCCAATCCTAGCACAACACTCTCTCTCTCTCTCTCTCTCTCTCACACACACACACACACACACACACAACTTTGCATATGCTATAGTGTAGATGAGGGAACATTCTACTGAGGTACAAAATTGTCAAATGTATAGAGGCAGGGAATAGATAGTGTTTGCCCTGGGATGGGAAGGAGGGGACCCGAGAGCGTTAATGTCTAATGAGCATAGAGCTTCACGTGTACAAAATAAAAAGAGTCCCAAAGACGGCTTCTGGGGACTGGCGCAACCCTGTGAATGTTCCTAACGCACTGCACTATACTCTTAAAAATGGTCAAGATGGTAATTTTTACATTATTTTATTATCTTTAAAAGGTTATATATTTGCTCCGATGTTCAGCTACAACACTCAAGTGCAGTATAAATTATCAACAAAGGCATAGTATAGCATTAAACACAAAGTCTTGGTGATGACATAGAATCTGTCCGGCCTCAGGAGTCGTGCTGGTAAACTTGATAGGTCAACCAGCCAAGATTATAGAATGGACAAGAAGAGGGATAGTTTCTAAATATTATAAACCAGCAGATGATTAA